GAAACATTTCTTACCTACTTTAATAATTCTTTACAACCCTTTCATCTTTTTGTTCATATTTTCTCCAAAACCCTAAATAACTGTACTATTTATGACCACCAGTCTTTTGAGCGACAGGCGCTGGGGTCTAATACAACTGACTTTACTGAAATGCTCCATGCGTTGAGCACATCTCTGGCAAACTTTTATGTTATTCTCTGTGTGTTTTTGCACATTTATGTAAATGCAGAAATGCATATTAAAGAGAGGCCGATCCATATGTGTGTCCTCACTTTTTTGTCACCAACTCGGTGAAGCTAGGAAGATGAAATTTTTGGAGCATGTTCGTCCCCCATGTATGATGTTCAATCTCTCCTACGCCTGGGTCTCAAGCGTGCACTTTTTAAAAAATTTGTGCAAATTTTTTGGTGGAAAGGCGATTTCGGGAGCCAGGCAAAGTAGAAAGCTGAAATTTCATATGGACACTTTGTACCGTTATGTAAGCTAAAGATTTCGAATTCAAGTCGAAAGCAAGCGCACGTCGTGTGTACGACACGTAAAAGTTACAATTTTGCAATAGTTAGAGAAATGTCAGCTCAGGAACTAAGGGGCAGGGTTTTTTCTAATTTTATGAGAATATCTGCTGTGTGCATGTGCGTAAGTCCGCTTAAAATGAGCATTCGCGTACCATCTGTATCACACACACACGAGCATGTCCAACCATGTTTGAAAGAAAAGCGTTTTCGAAATGTAGATAAGCTAGGAAGTTAAAATTTTCTGAGAATATGACGATGCTGGACTATAACGCTTGAAATTATTATTTTACACACTAATCTTGCACATGAGGAGGAGATAATTCCAGTTGGAGCGCTGTTGGCATTCACTTAAATCACGGATCAGACTACACGGGCAGCTGTAGTTATGAAGATATCTGTTGTTCTTGTGCGAATCCGTATACATAAAACTGGCATCTACTACTAGCGTCTCGTGTTTGGATGCGTCAACCGTTAATTGTTGTTTAGCAGAGTCTTCTCAATCTGAACATTGGGTTTTTTGCCTCATAAATCTCGAAAGTGTATTCGTTCATTTCATTCCCTCGTAGATGTACCGAACAAATTTCAGCTAGCAGGACAAATTTCATTTCGGGCTCCTGCACTTCGCATCACACTGTGCATACGGGCTGTGCTTCCCATGGCTATGCTGATTTGCATTATCACTGACTGCATGACGCTAGCCACATTTCTTCCCACTGCAGCAAAGGCAGCGCTTACAAGAAGTAATTATTGTTCTTCGTAGTGTCCTTTCCGGCAATTTTCGAGGTCAACTGACACGCCGCATAAGCGCTCAATTAATTACTTGAACTTCAAGAACCAGCAAAACACAAATTCTAGCTACTACTACAATTTTAAGCGATCTCACTCAATACGAAACAGTGCAGAAATGAATGATCGTACCAACCCGTTTGGTGCTCGTCGCCAGCGATTTTCTTAAGATTCTAAACTAGCAAATACCATATTTTATTTCCGAGAATGCAGAAAATCTTTTGAATGTTTGACTATCGCCATTGTTAAAAACAACAAGTTTTGTGAAATAAGAAGGAAATGAAAGCCCTATAGTCCTGTTATTTTCCTATTATTTACAGCAGTCCTTTTATTGCAGCTTTTAGGGATGGAAACTTGGCAATTCATACATCAGCAGTCCCTTTCGTAAGAATTTGTCAAACTTAACTAGTTAATTGGCCTGCTCGTTTCATTTCGGTTGCTGTGGGAGGATTGATTTTTATTAATCGACCGACCGAAATCATTGGAATCCTTTATATTATGGCGCTGACAATCTTCCTTTGTCAGGCAAGTGTTTCTGGCACAAAAGATTCTTATTTTCAGATTTTGATCTGGACAAAGATTCGGAGAATGTGGCAATTGGTACTTCACCCGGCTACATTAAAGCAGCTTTCTATCTCTCGAATGCAATAAACCAAACAGCTAATCCTTGCAGTGATTTTTTTGCATATGCTTGTGGACGCTGGATCTCAGACCATCCCATTCCAAGCGATCTCGCTACATATGGGGTTTTTGCATCGATCCGCGAAAAAGTGGCGCGAGAGATGAAAGGTTACTTGACCCCTCCACAAAGTATCTGATTTTTTATCCAATCAATGTAATAAAAGATCGGAAGAATCCGTCGTTAGTTTGTCGCTGGGCAGAAGACACGTTATGGTTTTTGCGCTACTTTCGTAATTAGCAAAAAACAAATAACGCGGTGGTGATAACTCGCAGCGAAATCTGAAGGTTGGTTTCAAGTATTCTTTTTTTTTGAATCATCAAATGTATATTAATTTTTTTTTTCTCGCATTGTAACATCAGTATTAAAGCCTCAGGATAAAGTTGGTCTGGTAAAACGCTGCATGTGCAGACATAAATATAATATTTCAGATGCCTACATATGTGCCCATACCCCAGCAAATTTGATGCTTTTATTTGAGAGTTTGAATGATATCAAATAAGATTTGATGGCTATTCGTAAGTAAAATAATAATTTACCTACTTATCAGAGCTCTACGAAGCGAAGAAAGTGACAGGATCGAAAGCAATGGATAGCGTCAAGACGATATTCGAGGCTTGCATGGCAGCGGGCGGGAAGAGAAATTTGTTAGGGCGTCAAATTGTTGAAGCTGTTGAGGTATTTTCTAACGATTTTGTTATTCGAACATCTGTAAATACATAATTGTCCAAATTTCTTGATACGTTAATCAGATAACCGTGAAAGTTCAGTGAGGTGATCTTTTTTATGCTTAAAAAGCAATTCACACTGAACTATTATTGCTTGCTGAGAAAAAAAGCTTTGATACGGAACTTGGCCGAGCACCGTGAATTTCCAATGATGCCCTTCGAAAAAAACACGGGATAAAAATTTAATTTTCCTTTAAAAGCAGTTTTGGAAAAACCTAGTTTGTTAACCTTCATTCATTCCTTTCGAAAACAAATATTTGATTTCTTTGACATATTGTCAGGTGGCTCGTGCAGTTCAAAACAAGCCTTTTTATTAGGCTTGAGCTGCTGCCCTTGCAAGTCAATCGTTGAAAAAACAAATAACTCTCCAATCTGCTGATTCATTTGCGTACTGGTACCTGCTCTTTAACATGCTGGAAGCAAATCGTTTTTTGCTTGTGGAAAAGAAGACCACTGATTGCTTTGCAAGCGGTTGATTCCTACTGGCTGTTTGCTTTAAATTAACTTGGGCCGTTTCGAAGTGTCGTTGTCTTTGGAAGGGATTATGACAGATGTGGCATTTTGCCTTCTTGATTTCGAAATTACATTAAAATAAATTGGCAGAGCCGGAACATGCTCCACAGTCGGATTTAATTAATTAGAAAAAACAGGTTTTCCTTCTCCTTTTTCAGTTTGATAAAGAGGTGTTTTAATCAGTTTGATATTTTTTACGTGGCATCACTAACGGAATATCGAAAAAGTGCACTTTAAAACAAAATGTAAGGAATCGAAAAACTCACCAAGTACAAATTTTAGCAACTCATTTTTTTCAAAGAGTTTTATGATGGAAACATTTTCTTTTTTCTCTGCGATTTATTAAGTAGAAATCTTCTAAAAATTCCCAGCCTACTTTGGGAAAAAGCTTTGTTTTTTAAAACCAAATGAACTTTCAAAAGCCAAAAGTCATGAATTTATGAAAGCTTTAAAGCGATGAGGGGAGCAGAGAATATTACTGTTACAGCAGTGCACGAAAACTAACAGCCTTATTTTATAATTTATCATCATAAACTTTTGTGGAAAAGACTTGTTCCAGTTTCTTGGCTATTGGCCGGTTATACACGGATCTAGATGGTCAGAGAAAAAATTCGAGCTCACGGAACTGATGATTCGAGTAGCTCAGTCGCGATATGTGGACACCTTAATCAGTGTTTATGCATCCCCTGATCAGAAAAATGTATCAAGGCGCTTAATTCATGTAAATTTTGTTTTTTTTTTCAAAGCATATAGTGAAAAATAAGGCGAGGAAAAGATAAATAATTTAAAGCAAAGTAAGTTTTTCCTGCATATCATGTGCTTCAAGTGAATTTTTAGTCCTCGAACAAAGTTTGCGTCTGACCGTATTTTCCAGATTGATCAGGGAAGTCTTGGCCTTGGAGCAGGTGCGCAGAAATACTACTTGGACGAAAAGCGCTATGAAAAACAGTTGAAGGCTTACAAAAAATATATTACTGATATGGTGATTTATCAAATTTCTGACGTTTTTGGCATGTATGGTTAGACTGTCACCAGAATTTTAATTTAATTGATGAAAATTATTAATCTCTCTTTCATCAAATATGCGTTTTAGATACTTATTGTTTCTGATGACGCTGGAATTAGCAAGAAGCGAAGCGAAATTGAGAGCGATGTCAATGAAATTGTAAATTTTGAGAAAAATCTTGCCAGGGTTAATTTTCGAAAAATATTTTTAATAATTTCAATATTAAGACCAAAATTATCAAAATCAATAAGATTAAGACAGATAATTTTTGTTCATATCTTAATGTCCATTTTCAATTTCTTTTTCACCAAAGAAAACGATTCTGTTTCATTTGCTAGCACTTTTATCCAAATTATCACTAGCCTCGCTGGCAACTGTCGTACTTCATGTATTAGTAAATGTTCTAACTAACTTGAGGTATACAGAACAAGATTGCTGTGAGTCGTGACCGACGTGTGACAGCATCTCACTAACAGAATCAACCCAGCTGGGACGCACCAGGCTCTCCGTTGCGATCATGCGTTTTTGTACTAAATTCGCTGATCGCTATTAGCAGAAATAATCCTTACGCTGTAGCCTAACACTTGGGCTCATATTGGCCGTGCTTTGGTCCCTTCCAGCACGTAGGAGGAAAGGCGTCAGTTAAGATGAAGGTGGTGCATTATAGAGCCGCGCGGACATCCAGGTGCATAATTACCGGTTTTTTGCATGAAGTCCGGTCGTTTTTATGCGTTTTTGCCGTGCAGCGCTAGAGCGCT